CATGGAGGGGGGGCAGTGGAGTGGCGGGGAGAAGGTGAAGAAATTTACGGGAATAGGGGTGTTTTGCTAACTGCGCTTGCGTACCTAGAATTTACGGGGTGTGCTGATTGAACCGGAGCAGTGCTTTGATCAGATGCAGAGGGAGCACGCGGCTCTCACAATCAATGGTGTGTGCAATCAGCACACGTCTCACTTCACGCGCCCTCGGTTTGTGTGTGTTTCACTTCAGTAATATCGCTAGGGAAAAAATGACGGACAGAAACCAGCAAAATCTGGTAACCCTGTGCATGAGAAACGATAAACAAAGTGTCCCGTGGGCCACATATAGAACTCCGATGGGCCACACGAGCTCACAGGTTGCCCACTACTGATCTCCAGAGTCACTGCCACTGCCTGAGCGGTCTATAAACCTTCCCTCACACCACCCTCCCAAAGTGCATCAGCCTGACGGGGAGCACCTCTAATGGCAGTTGGGGAGATCAGGCCTTGCCCGGTTCTCCAGCTGTCAGAGAAGAGAGTGGATCAGTACACACTAGAATGGTGCGTTTTGAAGGATAGTTGCGGAGCCACTAGGAAAGAGTCCACTGAGTAGAGTTAGGCCAACACTGAACACTTTTGGACTCTCATCCTCCCCTGGCCATACCAAAGACCAAGTGGGATATCTTGACCTGCACCCTGTCTGACCACAGCCAGAACCCTCAACTGCTCCAGAGATGCACAGAACTCTGCAGGAGACAGCTTTGGGATAAATTGTGCCACAGAAAGTTTTCCTTCCATCACCTCAAATAGCGGGAGATTGACTTACGGCCTGACACAGGATGGTTTCGATCACTTCCAGTCTTTTATCAGTTATACTTCTCTAGTCTGGGTTCACACTGGCCATGGAGCTAGGAACATCTTGTTACACCAGCCCTCAGAGACATCCGGTCCCCTCCAAAATGAGGTTTTTAAAAAAGCGTTTCCCTAACGGTTCTTGCAGGAATGGAACAGGCCACTGGAGACCAACATAGAGGGACAAACGGCAAATAGGGCAGGACCTCCCAGGGCACATGCACAGAGCAAGGCTCTCCAGATATTTTGCTTACCTGGCACGAGGCTGTGATGTTTGCAAGGGACTGAAGCATGAAGTGCCCTGCTAACGACAGCAGGTGCCAGCAACAAAGGAGGAGGAGGAAAAGCCTGATAATCGGGAGGAAAAGAAAAAGGCCAAGAGATAAACCTTCCTACAAAGGCAGCAGGAAAGACTATTAATGGTTAACTTTCTCTCATTGTGGATTACAAGGAAAAACGATATTTTAAAAGGAAGAGAAGTTTACCTTGTAAAGCAAATTTGTCATTCATTGTGCCAAATTATTCTTGTTATTCTTTATGCTTTATCCACTGAAAGATAAAGAGAATGCAGGCAAATCATCCTCAAATGGCAAGCATAGCCCCCCTTGCCTCCCACCTCCCTGCCTGCATCCTAAGCCACAAAAAGAGGGGATGCTAAACACAGCTCTGCGAACGACTGCCAGGTAATTGGTCCTCTGACGTTGAGAAGCCCACAGAACTCCTAAGGGAGCACAGGTATAAAAAGAGCCAGCGCACCTCTCACAGCAACTGGAGACCTGCCACGGTACTCGAGGAAATCTGAACCAACCTTGGTCCCAATCCACTGGGACCCTGCACAGGAAAAGAACTAAGGAAGAAGGAATCCTGTCCAGTTTGCTGAAGTAACAAAAATTGGCACAAGTGAGAGAGAAAGAAGTTGTATTTGCAACAGGGGAAGGAAACCACGCAGACAGCTGGAAAGATCCCACTTCCTTAGGGAACGGTAAGTTTGATTCTCTACATGTGTGTTTTAACAAGATATCTGCTATTTTAAAATTGGGGACCATTCAGTTATTCTAAAAAACCATCAGATTTATCAGCAATCTCAAAGGACTTTATGGATTAAGTTACAGGCTGAAACAGTTATTAATAACTGAAGTGTGTGATGCATGTACTGTAAATATACAAAGTTAGGTTATCGCACAGCCTTGCAAAACCATCTGGGAATTTACGAGCCGAGGCACAGAATCTGCTCCCTGCTCTGACAATATTGATGCTGAAAAGCACCACAAAATCAAGCTTTTTCTCACTTGTTTAGTTGAGCCAAACAGAGGGATGAATAGAAATTTAAAAGGCTTATGGACAATGCAAATACTATTACAGGATAGTAGAGGAAGCAACTGGAAAAACTTTTAAATGCAATATTATACAATATAAAAATTAAATTTAGCAGATTACAGGAGTAATTTAGGTTTCATTGCATCTTTTTAGCAGTATTTTCAGGACTGAGGGGAGACACATATCCCAGACATAATAAGGAACAGAAAGAGTGATCGATGTAATCTATCCATCAGTATTTTCACAAATACTGTAACATTAAAATTGTATGATGTTGGGATACTGTTGTGGTTGATCTTCTACAATCACATCAAAAGCTTTTAATCTTAGAGGGAATTTATTAACCTCTCCCCCACCCTGCTGGAATGGAAAGCAGGCAAGTCAAACTAAGCCTGTCCTAGTTAAAATAGGGACAAAATTTTTCAGAGCTGTCAGCTTGGCCATGTTCAGAAAGCGAAATTTGAACATTCTTCTATTCACTCCAAAATACCAGCCACATTTGTGAAGGTGAGCAGGACTCCAGGTTCAGTGGAGTGGGAGAAGGACCAAAGAAGGGAGGACTAAGGGACAGAAATGAAGGAAGATGAGTGAGTAAGAGAGGGGGTGGGGGAGGGAAAAGAGAAGATAAGGAAGGTAAAAACAGATTATGAGAGAAAAGGAAAATCAGACAAGCTTCTATAAGAAACTAATGGGGGCAGAACAAACATTTCAAAAGGGAGGAACACAGTCTGGAGGAATACCTGGCTGGCGCAAAAAAAAAGAGGAGCTGGATGTAAAGTGCAAGTGGGGATAACAGTGTGTGACGGGGTGTCTTACCCTAGGAATACAAATGGGAAGGAAGGGAAAAGGAAAGGGCTGTATTCTTTGGATGCACTTGTGCAACCCTGCTGCCATTTCACTGCCATGCCGTGGTTTGACGGTTCATAATATAAAGAACGGTGGTTTGACGGTTCATAATATAAAAAACATTGATTGGCACCTGTCCCCAGACTACCCTTTTGGAGTGTAGTGGTCATTGTCATTTTTTAAAATCAGAAGTTGATGGATATGAGCTGGAACTCGTGGAGTATTAGGGAGGGAGGCAGGCTTCCTTCAGGAGACAGCAGTGTAAACGTAAACCTAGAAGCCTTCTAATTCTGTCCCACAGGAGTAAGTCACTGCTTTGGGTGTCTGGCATTCTGAGGGGCTTCACGGGGCTGACATGATGGATTCTAAGAGGCAAGAATTCTTTGGGAGGTGGATTCAGTCCCTTTTTTTTTTTTGCTCTGTTCTAAAGTCAGGTCAAGCTGCTTCACTTCCCAAAGAACAGCTGGAAATGTACCTGAAGGCTGACTCGGCCTGCAGCTTGGAAGCAGAAGCAGCTGTAAACTGGGAAACCAGAAAGCAGGTTGAGGGACTGTTTACAGTTATTAACAGTGCTCCCCTGGGCGTCTGATTCTACACCCAATATTGTCAGTGGGGGCTTAACTTTCTTTGTGGTCTATGTACAGCAACTGCTACCATGAAGTCAGGTTCCTAACTTGGTCTCCTAGATGTTACAGTGATACAAACAATAAACAAACAACATTAATAGCAGCGAAGTCAGATCCTATGCCTGGAACTCCTTCCCACTCATGCTGCCCTAAACAACTTCCCTCTCCTTATTCAAATAGCTCCTGAGAACACAACTGGTCCATGAGGCTTTTCAATAAGGCACCAAACACTAGACTCCTTTGGGTCCATCAAACGCATAAACCTACCCATTGCTCCCGTGTGTGTCACCATGCTGTCAGATTTCAGTGCTGAGCAGTTTGGCCCAAGGATCGGCTTGGTGCATGCCATGTGCACTGACGGAGTGCCATCAATAATGAACAGCAGCAGCAATGCCCTCTCCGTCGGGTTGGGCAAAGCCACCTGTGCTTGTCAGGTACGCAGCCCGGTATTGCAAACATGGCTGGACTGGATCGTGCTCACATAGCCCTCCGCTGAATATCTGAGGGTCACTCTCCTTCACCCACGCGGTCCTTTGTATTATTTTGCATTTCCATTTCACATCCTTAGAGATCCCGCTTCATTCACAGCCTGTGTTTTCTTGCCGATAATCACTCCAGGCTCTCCTGTGTCTAGGATGAATGTCCTCCAGCCGAGATCTATCCCAGTGAGCCTGAAAGCTCTTCGGTGGCTTCTTATTCATTTAATGGACTGTTCTCTATGTTTGCAGCTCTAGAAATAAATAGGGATTTGGATTTTTACTAAATTACAATAAATAGCAACTATCCGGTAATCCAGAGCCCTTGGCAATAGATTAGACACACACGTGAATAAAACAGACGTGCCAGTTATCCCCCGATCAAATAAAATAACCCAACAACATTATAAATAAAATAATCAACTTCCTCAAATAATTCCCACCAGTCCCACCAATGGGATAGCCCACCTCTATCCTACTCCTCATGAAGTGGAACTCTATGACTGAAACCTAATTAGGGTGGGGTTTGTTTTTTTCAAAAAAATTAAGCATTTTCCAGCTTGGGATTTTTTTTTTTTTGACAGATTTCCATCCAACTGCTGTTTGGGGAGCATTTTCATTTTGATCGCAAAGGTACTTCCTACCGGAAAAAAGATTAGAGGGAAAATTTTCTACCAGCTCCAATTTCCTCAAATAAAAGACAGGACTATGTAGCACTTTAAAGACTAACAAGATGGTTTATTAGATGATGAGCTTTCGTGGGCCAGACCCACTTCCTCAGATCAAATAGTGGAAGAAAATAGTCACAGCCATATATACCAAAGGATACAATTAAAAAAAAAAGTGAACACATATGAAAAGGACAAATCACATTTCAGAACAGAAGGGGAATGCAGGGGGGAGAGGAGGGGGAGGAAGGTAAATGTCTGTGAGCTAATGGTATTAGAGGTGATAATTGGGGAAGCTATCTTTGTAATGGGTAAGGTAGTTGGTGTCTTTGTTGAGCCCGATACGTAGAGTGTCGAATCTTAGCATGAATGACAGTTCAGAGGATTCCCTTTCAAGTGCAGATTTGAAAGGCTTCTGGAGTAGGATGCAGGTAATTAAGTTGTTGAGACAGTGTCCTTTCTGGTTGAAATGGCAAGAAACTGTTTTTTCTTTGTGATCCTGTCTAATATATGTTTTGTGGGCATTTTGTGGGCATTTCTACCACTACTCAAATAAAAGCACATTGCTCAGTTCATTTTGGACCATGGACTTGAATTATTCCTGTTCCCAAGGCAGCTGCTAAACAATTATGAAAGTGTTCGTCTGTCCTGAAATGTCCATGGAAGGTTATCCCGTAAGAAACATGTCATTTGTTTTCCCATGTCAGGCATTGCAGAGAGGAGACCCATATATTATGTGATAAACTTAAAAAACAACAAATGGTCTGGTAGCACTGTATAGACTAACAAAACATATAGTCAATATATATACATGCAGGCTATGTCTAAATGGCGCATTCTTGTGCAAGAAGATATGCAAATGAACTGTGGTGATGAATATTGCCACGCTTCATATTGCCACGCCTCATTTGCATACCTAATAAGCCACCATTTTTGTGCAAGGGGCTTTTGCGCAAGAAGGAGCAGTCTATACTGCTCCTTCTTACGCAAAAACCCCCTCTTGTGCAAGAACCGTTTTGCCTGAAAATAAGCAGCAGAACGGCTCTTGTGCAAGAGGGGGTTTTTGTGCAAGAAGGGGCAGTGTAGACTGCTCCTTTTTGTGCAAAAGGCCCTTGTGCAAAAATGGCAGCTCATTTGCAAATCTTCTTGCACAAGAATGCGTAGTGTAGATGTAGCCATAGTCTATAAAGTGCTACCAGACCGTTTGTTGTTTTTTAAGTTTATCTTGTACACAGTAGCTCGGCTACCCCCCCCGAAGATACTATGTGATGACCAACTGCACAGCACAAGTCGTGCGTCAGCAGAAGCTAGGCTAATGGGCTAGAACCCTGCACACCTTCCTAATTCTGCCTGTGACTTTGGGTGAATCACTGTGTGATAGGGCCTCCTTTATCCCTCTCCTATCCTTTGTCTTGTCTATTTAGCCCATAAACTCTTCAGGTCAGGGACAGTCTGTCACTATGGGCACATCCGTGACAGACTGTCACCAGGAAGATGGATGCTGTGGTTTTTGATCTTCTGGCGTTTAATTTAATGGGTCTAGTGGGGACATGCTAAATCAAATGCTGAGGGCACCCCCATCGAGGCTGGTCCTCTTCACTGTCGAGAGGAGTAAGGGAAGTTGACAGGAGTGTTTCTACTACTGTAGAACCTCTCGCTGTGAGGACTTCGCCCTAGCTCGGCTTAAGGTACGTCGACTCCAGCTACATTATTTATATATCTGGAATTGTGTACCATAAGCTGGCCTTCCCCCATAGCATAGACCTGTCCTATGTGTTTGTACAGTGCTTGATGCAAAAGGGCCTCAATCTCAGCTGGCGCCCTAGATGCTACCACAATACAAAGAGTTCCTTGGAGGGTGAAAGTTTTTTGTGCCAACTACTGGGCAAATATTTACAAAGAGCAAATCCAGAGAAAAATCCAGATTGCCCAAAAACAAGCTCAGCTCCTAACCAGGTTATTCAAGCAGCTCTAATCAGGACAGTCCCAGCTGCCCTGCTTCTGGTCTCTGCCTCATGTGGTAAAAGGAGCTCCAGCAGAGGCAGTGAGAGCAGAAGGGCACAGCGAGAGGGGGGTACATTTTCCTAGCCCACAGGTGTAAGGTGATGGATTCAAGGGCAGTTTTGGATCACCAGCAGCATTCTCCAGAAATGGGATCGCGAGGCTGGAAGGGGGCAACTTGCTGAGACAGTTCCAGTCAGAGGCAGGCATGGGAGGGGGGCTCTTGGCCGAGGTGGTGGCTGGTGAGGTGATAAATTTCCATGCTGCGCCAGACACTGATGCACTGAGGCCATTGACTTGCAAGGGAACGTTCATGGCGGGTTTCATAAATATAGGCTGCAGGGCGATTTCGGTCCCATTAAGGCTGACCACACAGGGCTTATGACTTGAGCCTGAGAAAATGAAGACCTAGCTCAGAGTGCCCAGGCACATTCAAGAAGCCTTTTCCCAACCCACTGGCAGGGACGTGGTCAGAGCTCCCAAGGGTTGTGTGAGAGTGTCTGTTACAATCACTAATTTGGATTTCTCTTGTTTTCAGGCCATTCCAGAAGGGTGAAGGATGCTGCACAGGGCCATCTTCCTCCTGTTTCTCCATTTAGTCATGTGCTCCATCTCTTCTCCTCTCTATCCAGCTCTCAGGTAGGTGCCAAGCCCCTTAACTTCCTGCACGTACGAACGATTCCCCTCCCCATCCCGTTTCTCTGACATCACACCTATTTTCTGGCCTGAGCATTCGGTGGATTTCCATACCAGGCTCAGGAAGCTGCAGGCAGCATTTTTGCCAGCTTCCCCCCACAGCTCTGACAGCGTTGACTGGCAGAGCATTCCGCTTTCTCCCACCACCAGCTGTGACAGCTCTTGACCCTGACTAGCAACATCCTCTGCTATTTCAGTCCCACTCTGCAAATGCCGCCAGTTCACCTCACTCTTGACCTGCTATTTCTGTCCTGATCTCTGCCCCTTGCTGTAGCCCTGTCTGCTCACCTCAGTCCTGATCCACAGCTGCTCCTGGAGCACCTCCCACACATGGCCCGCAGCACACCCTGCAGTGTCAGAGCTGAAAGTCTCCTGTGCAGCCCCCTGCAGGTTGTGCCAAATTGTCTTGTTTAAACATTAGTTTATGCTTCAGTGAGAACAAGCTTTTCCTCCTCCGCATTTCTCAGCCACAAGCAGCTGTTTACATTGCTGTTAGCGGGTCCACAGCTCTCTGGTTTGTCTGGGTCCTTGGTGCATGGAAGATGCGGGCCACAATGTTGAATCCAGTATTCACTCCTTGCCTGCTCTTTGGTGATGGGTGTGCACTCAGGAATGGTATAATGGACCACAACGGTTTGCTGGCCTTGTTAACAGACCTTGTGCCTGACACAACGGGAAGCATAGATATAAGCCCTTGAGCAAAACACTGGTGCACTTGAAACAAGGGACAGCAAGGGTCAAATGGCCTAAACAGTTTTAAAACAAAATATGTAAGTTCAGGGCTGGCAATAGCAGCTAGGGCAGCTGCCCTGGAGCCTAAGTTGTCTGCTTAGTCATAGAACAGGTACATGGACAACACAACCACCTTCCCCCTCCCTGCTACAGCAACAGACCTCAGGTTCAGTCTCCACTGAGATGCCAACCATGGTAGCAACAGGCGCTTGGTCAGTGCTCAGATACTATAGGGCTGGGGGCAGGATAAAAATCCAACTCAAGCCAGTGGAAAATACCTAGAATCAGAAGCTCCTACAGATGAGCCATACTGCCAGCAGAGTCATGATTTTTTGATGCTACCAACCCATGCTGGATTTGAACTAGTGACCTACAGTGGACTGTCCTTATAGTTCATTGGCAATCCCCCATCTCTCTTTCTCCCTCCCCTGACATTAAGGTTGTAATGTCAAACACTCCAAAAATAGGCCGGGCCAGAATTCAGGTTGCCCGCTTAGCATTAATTTGGCCCTACTGTGCATATTCGTTCAGTGCTCACAGAGGATTTTTCCATATTACTGTGCTCTCATGGGCTTGCAGGTCAAGCCCCAATTCCCATTCCCCTTGCCAACTCGCATCTTCTACTCCTCTCACCCAGTTCCTTTGCTCAGCCAGTCCAAATTCTCTGCCAGACCAAATTCCTTGTCGGGATCATCTCTCCTACTCCTATTGTGCTCCCTCTCCGGTTCCTAGTCCCAGTCCTAAACCTGTGTCAGTCTTCGAATGGATGTAATAGGAAGGGCAAAAGATGCTTCCCTGACACAAAGGCTGCCCCCTTGTCAAATATCGAGTCCCTGCTCCCACATTCAGGCCTGCAAAGGCATTTTTAAAAAAAGGTCTCAAATTTTAATAGAGAAAAACACATTTGATCTTGGTTTCATTTTTGGGAATAGCTGAACATTTTGGTTAAAATTAAAAAAAAAATCAGCCTGGCATGGAAAATTTCAGCCTAAATGGTTGGCAAAATTATAAACAATTGTAAACAGGGTCTTATAATGGGAAATGTTGAGCAACCATAATAATATAGATGGTACAACCAGTTCTGTCTTTAATTAAAAAGTTGTAAGTACAAGATAGTTTTCTTTGCTTCTTTGTATTTTTATCAACTTGCACTGAAGTGCTTTGGTGGTATTTGGATTGAAGGGTTATGTACTAAAATGAATGAATTTAAGTATCTCTCTGCCATCTGTTGAAATTATCTTATTTTTGAAATTCAAAAAAAGAGATGATCTGCAAAACCAACTCCAGTTGCACTCTGGAGCAAATGGATTCATATTTCTCCCTCATCTCCATGGAAAAGACTTTAGTCTTTGTTTTCAAGGACCAGCATAGTGAGAACCCAATCAGTTGTGTTTTGCCTGGGTAGGCTGGCAGTTCAGAAAAGGGGATCTGGTTAGTGACTGGGACTTCTGTGTTTCTAATCTTGAAAGATGCCTTATTGGTATAAGTAGCGTGTAGGCAGCTTTCAGATCTGGAGGGCAGCAAGAGAGACCACCTGTGCTGTGTCTATGAGGCAGGGAAGGAAAGAACGAGCCATACTAAGGTGAAACCAGCAAAGCGCCACTTAAGGACTGCTGGGAGTTAGCCCAGTAGCGAAGGCCATAGTGGTCAGAGGGAGACAGTGAGGACTACAACAAGGCTGAGCTCACTGCTGCTGGCTCATGTTAGATGGTGCTTGGTCCTGCCATGAGTGCAGGGAACTGGACTTAATCTCCTGAAGTCTCTTCAAGAAGGGCTGTCCTTACCCCTACACAGAATATGCAGCTGTATGGGACACCACTGGGTCTTAATGTCCTATCCGCCTCTTCATCACCCTGTTCTGTGGCTGCTGCAGCAAGGCGAGCCTCCCTCCTGGAAAGGATCTAGTTAATGTAAAAAGAGAAAAAGCCTGCCAGACCTATTAGCAGAACACTGACTCCCTGAAAGATCCATTCAAGTGGTAAAGAAGCTATTTAACAGGCTTGGAAGCAGAAGCAGCTGTAAACTGGGAAACCAGAAAGCAGGTTGAGGGACTGTTTACAGTTATTAACAGTGCTCCCCTGGGCGTCTGATTCTGCACCCACTATCGTCAGTGGGGGCTTAACTTTCTTTGTGGTCTATGTACAGCAACTGCTACCATGAAGTCTGGTTCCTAACTTGGGCTCCTAGATGTTACAATGATACAAACAATAAACAAATATCAATAGCAGCGAGGTCAGATCCTATGCCTGGAACTCCTTCCCACTTACGCTGCCCCAAACAACTTCCCCCTCCTCATTCAAATAGCTCCTGAGAACACAACTGGTCCATGAGGCTTTTCAACAAGGCACCAAACACTAGACCTCTTTGGGTCTATCAAACGCATAAACCCACCCATAGCTCCCGTGTGTCACTGTGCTGTCAGATTTCAGTGCTGAGCAGTTTGGCCCAGGGATCGGCTCGGTGCATGCCATGTGCACTGACGGAGTGCCATCAATAATGAACAACAGCAGCTGTTTACTGTGTTAGTCAACAGGACCTTAGTTTAAAACTGGCTTTAAAACAATTTCATTTCTGTGTTGCTGAAGATTATAAAACATCTCTCTCCCTCCTCCACTGGCTGCCGTCGAGCCTTGGGGCATCAGTCTAGTAGCACTGAGTAGGGCCCCCTAAGTCCTAAGGTAAACCCTGCTTTACAGGTACAATCCACGGCCCGTCTCTACCAACGCGGTGAGCTTTCAGCTTCAGGATGGCAGTCCAGTGCAGAACAACAATCTCTCTGTGGAGCAGCAGGAGGAGGAAGGTTTTCTAACCAACCCTGCTGAAAAAAGGTAGGTGCTTCACTCCCCAATCCCAACACACAAAGGGCGCCCCAGTTAAGTTCTTCCTAAACTGCAGCCCAGAAGGGAAACAAGGGGGTATGAGAGCACTTCAGGATATTTTGCAGAAATTACAAATGAGCTCAAGGTCTGGCTGAAATTTTTCCAAACTCTTTTCCAATGGAAAATGGGTTTTTTGATTAAAATATTTTTTTGCAAAAATGGTCTGCTTTCTCTAGAAGAAATTACCACCCCAAATGCATCATTATCTCTGGGGGCTTCTCAAACTTATGTCCCAGCTGTATTCACTCCTAAGAGTCCCATGGTGCTGCTGGGGAACAGCTAGAACATAGGGACATTCGCAAGCCTTTGGGCCCTTTACAACTTTGTTTTTTAATTTGTAACCACTTTTCCCCAGCAGTTCCAGATTGGTTGGGAGACTTTCCCACTGTTGCCACATCATGAATTTAAAAAAATACTTTTTATTCTCCCCCAGAAAAGCAGTCAGATACAGATTCAGTGACGGGTGTTTGCCCCTTAATCAACTCCTCTCCCTGCACCAAATATGATTTTTTTTGGCATTTTAAAAGTTGATTCGTTACCAAAAGGGTGTATTATGCAGCCAATCTGTCTCTCCTTCATTAGGATGCAGCGTCATGCCGATGCCATATTCACTAACCAATACCGGAAAGTCTTGGGCCAGATTTCTGCCCGGAAGAACTTACAAACCATTATAGGCAAACGGCTGGGGTAAGATCACCTTTCCTGTTTCCTTTTATTACCGGATTGGGACTCTGCATGTCACACAACTAAAACAGAGAATGTTCCATCCAGGCTGCTGGACCCATCTCTCCTTGTCACATTCTTTTCGCACTGTTTCACCAGGAGTACAAGAACACGCCTCTTACTCTAAGACCCCTGCATCCCTACGTTTTTTAAATGATCTACAATCACAGCTTTTTTGGAAGGAAGCTTTGTTTTTAATCCTTTCCTTTCCAACCTATTAGCTTCAGGGTTATGCTAAATCTCCGCTGCCTTAGTAGCTGGCTAGAACCTTTGTAGGAAGCAGTAGGTATTATCATTCACTGATAGTGTCTAGACTGCAGGCTTCTTTCGGAAGAAGCTTTTCTGGAAGAGATCATCCAAAAAAAAAAAAAAAACCCACTCTTTTCAAAAGAGCGTGTCCACACTGCCAAAGCGCATCGAAAAAGCGATCTGCTTTTTTGACAGATAGCATCCACACTGAATGGACACGCTCTCGGAAGTAAGCTGTGATTACTATGGGCACCTGTGCTTTTTCCTCTTCTTGTGAAAGAACTCCCTTGTCCCCGTCCACACATGCACATTTTTCCAAAAAAGCTCTTTTGGAAAAAGGCTTCCCTGTAGAAAGAGGTTTACCAATCTCAGAAAACCCCCTCAGTTCTTTCAATTTTTTTTTGAAAGAACACGATTGCAGTGTGGATGTAATTGAATTTGTTTTTGGAAAATTGCCATTTTTCTGAAAAAACTCTGTACTCTAGACAAGTGATGGAGAAACTGCTTGTAAAGATCCTGTCTGCAGAGCGCTATTCTAGCAACCATTCTTGTTCTTTGCATAATCGAAGCAGTGAACGCAGTCCAGCAGAAGGGAAGCATGAATTTTTGACTAGACGCCAGTCTGAGAGCATCTTGATGGACAGCCGCTACCACCAGCAGATGGTATTAAGGAATTTCTTGGGAGCCATATTGCAGAATCAGAGGTAGGTAGAAAGCTCTCCCTTGAAATGTAATCCTAACCCTATAAGCCTAACCCCATTTCTGTCAACGGGAGTTTTGCTGTACATTTCGATGGGAGCAGGAATAGGTCCTTATTCCTATCTGACTTACGGGAGTGAAAAGATGGCAGCAGGCAATATTCCTCCAATACATTCTTTCTAATGGTTAGCATGGCACATCTGTATTGGGGGAAACTTAAGATGGCAGCTCCTCTTTACAGCATGGCTAGTATAGTCCTGTACCTCATCAACTTGTCTCTTCCCCCAACTTTGCTGTTTTCTAACAGAGCAATCACAACAGTGATTTGTTGTTTTCACTACCTACCCAGCTCTCTCCTCTTATTCAGGCCTCCGGATGTCAACAGTTATCATGTAGAGGACTTCGACACCCTCACCAAGCTCATGAAATTGTAAATCTCTCCCCCTTCTCTTCATGCTCTGGTGAGTACCAATTCCTAGCTGCTGGCCTTTGGGCAATACCCGGCTTTTGCAGTGCTCTGTAGTGGGAAAAGAAAGGCTTAAGACAAGCTTTACTGTGCAGATGGTGAGTAACCAGTGTCCATCGCAGTATGGAACAGCATTCAATGAAGTGGTGAGTTCTCTGCATCTCTGAAAAAAATCATATCGCTTGTGTATCTAACCCCAGATTTAGAGCCTAACTTTGGCTTGAAGGTGGTGGCCACGAAAACTGGTATTTAAAAACTGTCTCAAAATCAAATGCTTTCACGAATGGGGAGCTACAGCAAACAGGGGAACCCTCCTCACCCAGCTCGCTTGCTTTTCCTTCTTTTGCCTGAGTTACTTGTCTACTCTTATAGCCAGTGATGACAGCTCTGGTGAGCTTGTGGTTGAGGTAACATATATGTTATGTCTTTACTCACAAGCAACTGCCTCAGTCTTGTTTTCCCCCCCTCAGGAGTTATTCAGAGATAATGAACCTGGCTGTAGAATAAACAACCCACAGCAGCAAAGACAAGATCCTGGACATGAAGAGCTGTAATCCATGCATATCCTTCTTGGAATCTAGAGAGACATTTCATAAAGGAATCCGATAGTGACTTTAAAACAATGCCCAGGTTAATTCAAATCAGTCCTTAAATTATTCCCCTCCAGATGCTCTTGGCCAGAGGTCTGTTATCTGCTCTGGTCTGTACAGGATTTCTCAGTCCTGTGTGCACCTAGCCCAGGGCAGACATTTGATTAGCTACAATCTCAACAAAATTTCTGAATCAAGTGCTACAGAAAGAAATCTGCTGAGTTACTGCTCTGTCTGGAAGTTTGCTTATTCAATAAACATGTAGACTACTAAAAATTACCTTTTGGTATCCATGTAAATTTAGTCTATACATTGATTTGACTCTTCCTGCTTCTGGATACATGTCCAACAGAGACCAGATCATATATTACATGATTGCACATTATAGATTTATTTCTTCAGGAAAAAAAAGACACATGTACACAATATACTGGAAACATCACTGGCCTCACACAGGACTCTCTTGTCCTATCCAGAATTCTTGCAGAAAGACTGCACTCCCCAGCAAGCCCAGCGTGGGGTTAATTTGGTGTAAATGATACTCCCCTCTGACAATGCACAGAAATGTCAGATTATACTGGTCAGTATATTTTAACTATCGCGGTGGAGCATTATTAAGTCTACTCCTACCTCCATTGCACCATTATTTCTCACATTTAGGATGCCGGTGTAACGTCTCATGGCCTGTTAGAAGGGGAAATATGTTGTGTTCCCCCCTCCCCGTGCCATAAAACCCCTCTCCAGTGTCAGAGATAGAGGATAAACAATATTCAGCTTCCTTCTCTGGCATAATGACTTTCCTACTACTGCACTGTAACAGTTATGCCTTCAGATGATATGTAAATAATTTCAGGTGAGTTTTGCTTTTCCATCACTGCAGCAAAAATAAAAACTGTTGAGAATAAACTTGTCCAACCGCAGGTTAAGATTCCTCCTCCTCTCTTGAGACATGCCTGTTTCTTGGTCACGAGCTACATTATCTGCACACTAAGGACATATTTTCCAGTTGGTTTTCAAAGGCTAATTCAAACAGCTGTGCTAGGCTATGAAAAAAGTACAGGGCAGTGTCTGCACTTGCCAACTCCAGGCTCAGGTATAATGTTGCACATACACAAGCAGAGGATAAGACCTTTGTAGATGTGTCTCACTGTATTAGACCTTTGCCTAGGTCAAACCTGGGTTGGAGAATCTCTCCGCTTTTTTTCATGAGGTGACGAGATATGAAAATGGGCTCCAGCTGGCAGGTTTGAGTATGAATGTTTATTATTTCACACATTGTGAATATTAAATATCTGGAAGAGGCTTCAACTCAGCCTCTAGATTTGTAGGAACAATTTTTCCCTTCTATCTAATGGTAGTCATTCAACTATGGGCACTAATGGCAGACTGCTAAATTTTCACCCACACATGCAGTCAAGGAAGTAAGAAGCTAACATCTATCATCTACTTCCAGTTATGGATGTAACTGGTGGCGAATGCAGATTTAGATGATTTAAAAATGTAGCCTGAAAATTCCCGTTCCATGGTGTAGCTCCATGTAAGTCAGCTGGGGTACTGCGGAGTGTTTTACCAAGTTTCCTTCAGCCATATTGTCCTGCACTAGTTGGGAGATTCCTGGACCTTCAACACTACGGCTGCAGTGATAGGTAACAGCTGCAAGGAGGGAAACTGAAGAGTCCAGGCAGAGTACTAACATTAAACAAATAGCTATAGCTATATATCTTCAGAATACAGAAAAGGTGTTTCTTAAAAAAGGGGGGGAGGGGAGTTGTCTATTCCTGTGCAAGGAGCAACTGACTCAAGAAAAAGGACGGGGGTAAAACTCACAGCGAGAGGCTAAGATAACAGAGCTAAAATGTCAGTGATACACCGCCATTGGGATGTGGATTATTAAGGCATTACTCAGATTTACCTTTGGCCTTCCAGTAAACCTAGGCTGGGCTCCAATGGCGCAGGAATGTGTAGACAGCATGGCTTAGTGTTCAACCAGTTCTTTAGATTTCAAAACAAATCCAATAAACATTGTCATGTTATAACTAGCACGCTCATTGTAAACATTCAATATTCATTGCATCAGAAATCACATCCCTGCCTCTACTATAAAAAGAGACAAAACAGAGAAATCACCCTGGAAGCGGTGAGGTTGGTGCTGGAATGGAAACAGAGCTAGGGTAACAAAGTTACTCTGATGTCAGAGCTGGTTGAATGCACTGGAGTCTCACTAGTGCTGTGTGGGACCCATGAAAAATAATTAACAACTGAATAAAAGGAAGGGTGCACGTCAGTCTTTGTATTTCAGCACCATGGACAGTTTCTCACCCTGCTTTAGGCACGCAACTGGCTCTCGATTCTTGGTTCTAAGACCAGGGTCTCTCATGTCAGTACAAACAGAGCTTATATGCAGTGTTTCCGTGCACACAACAGCAGTTACTGGAGAAAGGCAGATGTGGGATTCACAACTGTATCCTCTGCAACTATCATTGAACACAGCACAGGAGTAAAAAAGGCCTGTTGCACAAACTTAGTTACTTTGGAATAGAATGGGAAGAAGGCAGAGAAGGACCTGAAAGCAAATGCCAACCAAACTGCAGGAGCAACATCACAAAGAGAGAAACGTCACACAATACAACATGCATTGCCTAGACTAAAGAAATTATGGGCTAAACAAAGCCACATGGAACTCACAATGTTACATCACAACAGTTGGGAATAAAACACTGAACTCGTCTTTCCTCTCATTATCCCCTTTATTCTGCAGGAGCTAGGGAGGGGACAGAGTGGTAGCAGAGGAGAGGGATGTCGGAATTACAAAATGTGTCCTG